ATAACAGGAATGATACACCTCCGCCTATGATTTTACGAGTTTTACGACCGTTTTATGACTTGGGCCCTCATTTTGTGCTATCGACAAATTATGAACGGACTATAGTTATAGCGTTGATATTAAAGAAATAATCTATCTAGTCATGTCATTACGTGGGAAATTGTCTACAGGTCCTGATGGAATTCCGCCATTATTAATTAAATGATGTATTTTTACCCTGGTAAAACCAATTATCATGATATTCAATATTTCCTTGAAATCGTCGATCTTTTCAGATTATTGGAGCAGTTTTTCAAACCTATTTATAAAAGTGAATCACATAATGAGCAGTCTGTAATGAATCAGAATTACCCAAATTGTTAAACAGGCTAATTACAAAAAAGCTAACATGAGATTGTAGCCATATAAACATTAATCAACAACATGGATTCAGTAGTGAAAGATCTACCAGCACAAACCTGCTTATTTATCAACATTGTATAATAGATGCCTTCGAAAATAGACACCAGATGGATTCTATTTACACAGATTTTTCAAAGGAATTTGACCGAGTAAACCACAATTTGCTGTTGCATAACCTAAACACTTTGGGTATCCAAGAAAACATTCTGAAATGGATTGAAAATTATCTAGCCTGTAGAGTACAATTTATGAAATATGGTAACTCAGTATCTTCCTCAACCACAGTTCCATCGGGTGTACCACAGGGTTCTCATTTAGGGCCATTGCTTTTCAACCTATTTGTAAATGACTTGAAAGATGTTATTCTTTATAGTTAATTTCTTTCCTTTGTTGATGACCTGAAGATGTTTGGAGTTATTCATGACTCAACTGATACAGAACTTTCAAATGACCCCACAGAAAGAAATCTAACGGCGAGAGGTCTGGTGATCGTGGTGGCCATTTGATAGTGCCCCGCCTCCCAATTCAGTGATCCGGAAAAGTATGATGTAAATACTGCCGAACAGGCAGTGTATGGTGCGGAGGAGCCCCATCTTGTTGAAATATTTACAGATCCACTCGATAATTGTGGTCATTTTCATTAATATCAGTGAGAAGTTGATTAATAGTATCTACCAGAAGCTCCAGATACATTTGTTCGGGTGATCGAAAAACAATGCGCCAACACTAGGTCACCAAAAATTCCAGCCCATACATTTAATTTTTGTGGACGTTGAGTATGCACTTCATGAAAAATGTGAGGATTTAAATCAGCCGAATAGCGACAATTATGGCGAATAACTGATGTGCCATTTGGAAAAAAAGAACATTCATCACTGAAGCAAATGTTGAAAACGAAGTGTGGATTTTCCACCGCTCGTTCACTAACCAACTCGCAAGTTGCAAGCGTCGATCGAAATCATCTTCATTCAGTTCTTGCGTTAACTCAATTTTGTAAGGATTCATTTCGTGGGTTTGCTCAAAGTATGCTCAAGCTTAACAAGGCCCAGAATTGCCACTTGTGTCGCCTCATTTGTTACTGGTGGTTCAATTTGCCGTTTTTTATTTGCTACAGATCCAGTTGCGCAAAATTATGCAATTAAATCGAAAACATACTGCCGCGACACATTCTTCCCATGTTGTTGATGGAACAATTCAGCAGCTCTCGCAGCACAACGTCTATTTCCATAGTACAGTTCAACTAACTCAACCCTCTCTGCAGTTGTGTAAACCATTGTTTCTTTAGCAACACTTTACGGCACTCACTACTAGTAATGATGCAGTTATCACTTTTAACATGAAAATGAGAAATCAAAACACCATTTTTAACCATTTCTCAATTGTAATAGAACTAAAAAATTAACAAAAAAGTAGCGTTAGAAACAAATGAAGGAGTTCCAAATACATTCCAACTGAGCAGTGGCGTACAACAATTTGTTGCTATCAACAATATTGAAGAAGTTATTCATCGGAGAGGACTCTTTTAAATACGTCCAAATTCAAAAAAAAGTGTACACCATTGTTTAGAGAATTCCAAGATCTTTCAAACGATGCGCGACTCGCCCCCTATTCCCTATTGAATTTCCAAGGGTTCCAATGGGGGAAAACTATCCTTCTTTCAGTATCTCAATATCTCAATATCTATCCTTCTTTCGGGATCTCGAGATAAAATTAAAAAAAATGTTTTGATGCTTCTGCGGTTTTGTAGCGGGATATAAATAATATTACTTTTTACCAGGATTATCATTTCAATTCAAACATTTCATGAAGAATGTATAAATTTTTAGAAAAGCCACTGAACGTTATTGAAAATGTAAAAGAAAACTCACGAGAGGTCCACATCCATCACAACTTCATCTCTGGAAACATTTTCATATATTACGATTCCACCAGTTCTGAAAGGCTGAAATTTCAAAATGATTTTCATTGCATCAAATGCCACATAATTACTTACAACACTTCCTAGGACGATTCTCTCGAAACGGAACCCTTTCAAAGCAAATCTCTCCAAATTTTTACTGAGCTTAGGTTCCACGTAGTTTTTCATCAAGTCTCTGGTAAAGAAGTTGACGAACGGCCAGAACTGCTTGACAACTTTATTCAACCATTCTGCTCTTTCTGTATCGGGGAAGAGTACCTATGGAAGCTTCAAAGTTTTTTGTTTTTTCATACAATTTTTCATTGGAGATTAACTTACCCATGCCGGTAGATCCTTTATGTTCTCCAAAATAATCTTCTTCTCGTTGCCATTAGCTGCCTCTTTTGCAAACTTCCTCCTGTTAGTGTTTTTCATTTTCTTTTTCTCTGTTACGATGCTTATCGCTACTGGTATCACTATCCATGTAAGAGACCAATTCATATAACCAATAAAATAGATCAAAATTGATATGATGAGCTGAAAATGTTAGTCTATTAATCTTTATTCTCAACATTATATGGATTGCAATTATTATCATCGCCAAGTTATTACTTCCATTCATCGCTTCATGGATACTAACAATCGGAAGGTCGTGAAGTAACTTGACTTGGAATCTTTCAATTTTCATTTCCTGTTAATATTTTTTTTTTATTTTCATCTCGTATTAATATTTCAATTTTTGATTTTTTTAGTTGTTGCTTGTATTTTATTTCATTGTAATTTCAGTTTTTTGCNGAAAAAAAATCGAATAGCAGGCCATGACTTCGTATCTGAACATAACTTTTAATTCTAAGCAACTTTTCTCTTCAACATATTTCTATATTTTTTGAAATAAGGGTACTTTACCTTTGAATGAACTTTATATTTTTTGGCCTATCCTGTGGTGTTTGTCATAAAGCCACATCAGGTACACTTGGTATAGTTTTGGAACATGCACCAACTTTTGTCAAGGATAAAATTTTCTGAGAAATCGATAGAAAAAAAGTTTCCCATTTGTTGCACACCTAGTGAACCACACTGTATAAGTTTGAAAATGTCCTTATAAGCCTAATCTAAATAGACCTATACAGTAGGTTGAATGGACTGACGCCTGTCAGAAAACAACTACTCCACTGGTTAATACCACGAACGGCATTGGATTATATCCAACAGGCGTCGGATATAGATAATCTTTGACTTGATATTTGAAGCAGTCCAAGGGTGCTACTTTGGCAACACATATATTACGATTCAGTATATATAATATTATGAGGATCAATAATAAAACATTATTTGTACCATAATTTGTACCTCAAAATTCGACTCAAAATTCGAAATTGAGACTTGAACTCGAAATTTCTAGTTGAAAATCGAAATTTCCAGATTGAAATCGAATTTCGTGTTATGTAGTCCTAATTTCCAAGAAACAAATGAAAAGGAATATAGTTTGAAAAAACTTCTAAAGAACATCGAACTAAAAGGTTAAAAATATGTTTTATTTTAAATAAGCTTAAAACAATAACGATAAAAAAATACTAGTATTATTGTGAAAAAAGCGTGGGCGCTTTGTGCCATATTTTTTGTATATCTAGCGTCCAGGCTTTTTCCACAATATTACTAGAATTTTTTGATCGCTATTGTTTTAAGCTTATTTAAAAAAATTATATTTAACTTTTCAATTCGACGTTCTT